GTTTAGGGTTTAGGGTTTAGGGGTTTAGGGTTTAGGTAGGGGTTTAGGGTTTAGGGGTTTAGGGTTTAGGGTTTAGGGGTTTAGGGGTTTAGGGTTTAGGGGTTTAGGGTTTTGGTACTGATTACTCAGAATCCTGCATGGCCCTCAGTACCTTATACGAGTACGTTGGGAATAATGGTATTATAGTAGAGTAAGATCATGCAGGATTTTTAGCACTGATGTCGCCAGATGTCTTACATCCACCCCGACCCTAAATATAACATAGTAGTTTCCATTTTCTTGTCCATTATCCCTGTATAACCCTGTATTATACCCCTATATTATACCCCTATATTCCCTATATAATCCCTGTATAACCCAGACCAGCATTCATCGACCTTGGCTCTGCAGAAATGCCAAAAGCCCGAACAGACCAAAGCTTACCACTGTGTGAGACGGAATACGGGTTATATAGGGGTATAACATTGGGGTATGATATAAGGCTATGTAAGGATAATGGAAAAGAAAATGGAAACTACTATAATATTATAGTTGACCAGCTACGTTTTTATGACTGCAACAACTGCTTGTTTCTATGGGCTTGCTAGCATGCCCAGCATTACTCCTGAAAATTGTTAGAACAATTGCTATGAATATTACTTTTACTAATATCTATTGTATTTCATTGTTAGGCAAGGCCGCAGAAACTGAAAATCCATTTCCTGTTCCACAACCATGAACCCTAAACCCTGGGGCCCCCCAAGATATCGACGTGATGCCAGCTTAATGTTCGACTGCGTGTCGATTTCTCGAGGCATCTCAGACACAAAACTGCTGTTTTCAGAAATTCCCACATGATCCCAAACCCAAACCATGAAACTCCCTCGGGGTCTGTCTTGAGGAGCCCCCCAAACTGGTGTAACTTATCACTAGAACCACCATAGCCATCTTCAGAATCCCCACGTATCTTTAGGGACCCAAAATTACCGCAATTCTGGGAATCTCCCCAATGCCGTGCTACTTCCTGGTTGTAAGAACGGATCCCTGCTCTTATAGAATTATAATCCCCAATAATGAATCCAGTTCCTCTTTCTGTTCCATGCTCTGAACCTTACAAACCCTGAATTGTACGTTCCATCTTCTTTTCCATTCCTTCATTGTCTACTAACTGTCAGCAAGTCAAGGGCTTTACGAATCCCAAACTATGAACCTCCATAACTCCAGTGTCCCTTTCATGTTCCATTTTTCCATTAGATTCTCCATTGTAACTCCATTTGCCTCCATGTTCTTTTCGTTTCTCCATCCGCTTTTGATTCTCCATTGTAGCCCAACCAATTCCACGCCTCCGGAGAGCCGGCCCTAGTCCTGGAAGAGTGGGCGGCATATCTCCTGCCAATCGAAGAAACAAGTTGAAACGGCACGCATGATGAGAAGCGATGGTGGTAGTGGTGGTGGCGGTGGTAGTAGTAGTAGTAGTAATAGTACCAGCAGCAGCAGTAGTAGTAGCAGCAGTAGCAGTAGCAGGAATTAGTAGTAGAAATAGTAGTGAACAAGCCCTTCTGGGATTTCCAATTTTGTCGCTGCATACTTTTAATTTGCAAGCATTACCAGCAACCAATTTAGTAATAGTTGTGGTGATGAAGGTAAGCAAGCAGATCAGAAATGCCAATTGTAAGCACGCATCTTGAGGGGGTCATGAAGAATTATAACCCTGAATCATAGTCGCATAAAGGGGTGGTAGAGCCAGCTGATGCAAGGGGAATCCTTTATCCTTGGTCTGATCTCCCAGATTTTTCAAGGATGCGTAGCCGGGATGTAAGCCATCTCTTTTCAAAACGTTGAACCTAGACACAGAAGGTGCCTGAAAAAGCAACTTCAAAAGTACCGCAAACCCTTGCGACCAGATCTCCATCCTTTGCATGACACTTCGAGCAGGCTTCTTCTTCTCCGGCGACAGAGGGCGCAAAGATTTCGAGGCCTGAAGATATCGCACGACAAGTTGCTTGGCATGGACTTTGGAAATGAGCTGCCAGACTGCCTTCAAGTCTGATTGCAATCCAGGCATCGGCATCACCCTTGTGGTCATCCGCCAGGTTTCGGAGGGAAGGCGGTAGCCTGCACTTGCTAGCAAACTCGGCTTCTCGTTTTGATTTCCATTTGACGCAGAAGCGGGACCAAACTTGCAAGCTGTCGTGCTGCTGGCATGCCCTAGCAGCCAGAAATCCTGACAGAAAAATTGCACTTGTAAAGTTGCTCGTCCTACAGCGCAGTTTCAACCGAGGATCCAATGCGAAATCATATGGTGGATAAGGTACTTAGACTCTTGGGGGCGCATCATGCGGAAACATGTAGGCCTCCAATTCAGTAACCCGCGATCGTGTAAGAAATCCGCGCAGACGCACTACGAGACGTTTTCTGTACTGCCTCAACCTACACTACTGAATCTCTGGGGCGACAGGCCATAACCTGATTTTGCCTTTGGGTTTTCCGAAATAAGTAGAATTTCAACTCACAACCCCGCATCCTGCAAGCCTTAGGGGCTCCGATGCCCAGCGCCCCCTGAAGCAGGGTGCTGTGAGGCGCCATTTCAGGTTCCTTAGCTGCTGGCTTCTAAAAGTTGTGGTCACCGTAACATGAACTCTAAAGGGATGGCAAGCAGGTAAGCAGCCTATTTGGAGCCGGAGCCCCATTAAGGATCAAGTACACCATGTAGGTTTGCCAAACACCAGAACCGCCCCTTGAACAAAGGGGCTGCAGCCGCGCGCAATGGACCGACCCCAGGTCGGCTGTGCGCGAGTGGCTGTGGGGCACCTTTCCGAGAAGGTGTCCCATGCTTGAACTTAGGTCTCGGGATTGATTAAGCAACTTAGCGATCAGGTTTGGGGATTCGGGATGAGGTATTTGATGATTCAAAAGGCGTGGCTTGATCAAAGCCTACATGAGTCTCAAGATAACTGAAAAGTCATCAAGCCTAATGTGATGGAAGTCAACGATGCTGCTCCTCTTGGTGGGCTTCATAGAGATGGGCGGATTAGGGTTTCTGGCAGTGCCTCTTGCAACAGGGCTCGAAACCCTCTGGCAGAAGCTCCAGCATGAAGCGTAGCTAGAAAGAGCAAGCTAAGACAAACTGGACTTCAACTTCTACTATCTACAAAGCATTTCTCTTAAACTTGCAATTTGGAATTTGCGGAAGAGAGTACTAGGCTTCATCCAAAATGCCAGAGCATGTCTCCAAAAAACATGCGGTCCTCACAAGGACCTTCGACCGGAAAATTTACGGTTTTCTTTCCTGCGGACTCGGGTGCCCCCGAAACTCTCAAGCACTGCGATTCTCACCATACAGAATTTCAGACGATGTCCATAATCTTAGACACTACAGTGTGCCGATACCACCCCACAAAACAACTCGTCTTAGATTTTCAGAGGCTCGCAGAACTACGAGACCCCCTCACCAGCAAAAAAAAGAACAACAAAAAAAACTATCAAACCATAACAGTCGAAGCTCTGGAAGCCTGTCATTAGTCTCAGTATTTGCATGCCAGAGGGCCAAGAGCTTCAGTCGCTCAGCGCAGCGGCACTTCTCACCGGGGTGGTGCAGCTTTCCTCGGCTAAGTGCTGAGGATTTCAGGGTTCGGTTGGGCTCTCAGGAGTTTGGGGTTTAGGGTTTCGGCCGAAACCCTTTGTTGGATTCCCACATTGCGAAGTCAGGACTTCCCCCTTCACAGGAGCCTCCACTTGTACATTTTTCTCCATGCACTTCCTGTGCTGCGGCAAGGCTGGAATATGACCTGCAAAGTAAAGACTTTCCAATCTGAGCCCATTTCAACGCTAGCTAGAAAAAGGAAACCAATGACCACTGGCCCATGAATCATGGCCCTTTGACAGTCAAGAATCGTGGGCATGGGTGCGGTATAGGTCGCTCTAATGCATCCACCATGCGCCTGGAGGGGATGAGGCCGGCCAATCACAAGTCTAGAGATGCTCGGTCACAAAATAGGGTAGTTCCCAAAAATACTATTGCCGTCATTTTGATGGACACCTCCAAAAAGGTACCCCTAATTTTAGGAAACCCCCTCATGGTGCCCAGGCGGGGGTAGGCTTTGCTTCACACACGCGGCCTGCTCGGAAAGCACCACGGCCCAGCTAGCAGGATTGTAGCGTCAGGCGCTGAGCCAAAATGCCACAATTATCAACACGCACTCTTCATGGGCAGGAAGGCAATGTGGCATCAGATATCAAAAAGGACACTTTCACAGATGGTCCTCCTGTTTGGCATGGAGACGAACGCAAACCCAAGGCGGACTGTTTGCTAATATTACCCAAATATTATCCCAACAGAAGCCTAATATAACCCCAATCTTGCCACAATAATAGTAATTTCCGTTTCTTTTCCATTATCCCAATATTACCCCAATGATTACCTATATCCGCAATATTATCTGCACGCGCTGCCGCAGCCTCGGCTGCCTCGCTGGCTTTGCCAACATGTCTGCTGGCCAGTAGAGCTTGCCTCAATCCAACATGGACGGTTCTCATCATAGACATATAGTCCTCCTTAAGTAGATCCCTGAACTCTCTGACCCTAAACCCTTAAGCTTCGAAATAAAACCCACAACCCAGAAACCCTTAACACCCTAACCCTAAAAAAGCCTCAGGCCCTCGTACTCTTGACAGCTGCGGAACCATTGGCCAGCGAGGCGACAAGCTCCCAGAGCCGAGACGTGGTTGACCTCAAAGGAACTTGAATTAAGTTACCATAATGGGTATATATAGTAAACAATAGGGTTCCCCCAATATAGTAACTTAATTTAAGTTTGATTCTTACAACGCTTAGGCTACTTCTAAGTGACCGGTTCTTAGTAGGCAATATGGGAAATGATGCTATATAGGGATTATATAGGGATTATGCTCCCTTATTCCCTACTAAGAGCCAGTAAGACTTGGTGGTTTCTTTTTGCGCCTTTTGGTGTTTTCTATGCCTTATCAATGTTCTCATTGTGATTGAAATTTTCTCTTGGTAATGGTCATTGATCTTCTTCATCTTGCTGTTGCCGCCGCCGCCGCCTCTGCCGCTACCGCTGCCGCTGCCGCTGCTGCTGTTGGTTTCCTACGGGTACTGCTGCATGACTGGCATTGTTCTAACCGCATTTTTGGCTAGTACGGTATTCTCGCAAGGACTACTGCGCATATCCCTGACACAATCGACTGTAGAGTTCATATGCTCAGCATTATGGTGGCCCCGCACTTGGTGCCTCTTGTCCAAGGATTGCTGCGCATTTTAATTAAGTGCTTCCGGTTGTGTGTCTGCGCGGTCCTACAAAAGATCTGGAATCTGGGCTCACTGTTGTTGGGCTGTCTTACATGGAGGCTCCCAAAATTAGGGATACCCTTTTGGGCGTCTCAAGATTAAGGACTCGATTTTTGTGGATTGTATATTTGGGTACTCCTATTGTGTGAAAAGACCACATCTGCATGTTTGTAAAGCATGGCAACGCGTGCATGCATCGTACAAATGAAGCATGGTTTGAATTTGAAAAAACCTACACCTGTATAGTCTTTCCGTTGCTTCTGAAATGGGAGCGCCCCGCTACAACCCTTCAAAAGCTCCCGTTACCTCTTGGGGATCTCCATTTCAGGGTGAGGCTATCAATGGAGGTTCAAGGAGCCACGTCCGCTTCCACTGCAGCTGCAGCCAGGAGCGATCGAAGCCTCAAACAAAGCAGAAGCTTCTTGAGAAGCTGGCAGGCAGGCAAGGTCATTGCTGGGCAACAGTCTGGTCTCCATTCCAGCTCAGAACAGTAGCGGCTCATGAATCCTGATGGGACACAGAAAAGATTGATTTTGCGGGCACCGTGCAAGTCCCATCAGCTTCCCAAACAAAGTCACACAGCTTGCTTCGACATAGAAAATGTTGGCAGCAAATGGACCCAGGGCCAGTACTTTGTGGTCGTGCTTGAGCCTGGGAAAATCCTACATGACGTTAAGAGCAGATTTTCTTCAGACCCTAGCCCACATCAATGTTGATGCTTGCCATGGGGCACAAGTGCCATGGGCCATGCTTTGGCCAGGCGCACTGCGTCCTCTGGGAGGGCGGGCCAAAAACCAGGGTTGAGCCAGACCCGCCTTACATCGCCTTACTACAATTTCGAAAGAAGCAGGCATTGCCTTTGTTCAGCCTCTATGGTAGAACCGGGGTAAGCTGCACAATATGCCAACCCAACCCCACCAAGCAGTCCAGCGAGGCATTGAAACTCACCTGAGCGGTTACTAGTTTGGCACGAAACAACAGAAAGTACAACGCTTTCTGCATGTATCGTTTGGAGATGGCGTGGCAATTACCCATCAGCCCTAGACAGAACATACTCACGGTGATGTCAACAGCATTCCAAGGCAGCACGTGGGGTATATGGCTAAGCTCTGGTTGTCAAATAACCCATAGGGTGCTGCCTATCTACAGGCTAGGGAAATCAGTCTACTGGCAATGGCTCCACTGCAACGCATGATCTTGAGGAAGGGGATGCAGGAGCAGGCCGTCACTTCGTCTTGCAGTTCTGCTCGCAGTTCTACTCCTACTGCTAGTAGGCCATTGAGCCTGATGGTTCATGCAACTCTTACTACTCTGGCTACTGGTCCTACTGCTCTGTATGACCATCGTTCCGACTAGTACTCTTTGAAGATATAGCTTGAGGGCAGGTCCCGCGAATCACTATTGCAGCCGAGCTGCAACTGTTTTCTGCAGCTGGTTGGCAAACATCGTGCCAAGGAGAGCCACAGCATGCTGCCACTTCCAGGCTTTGGCACAGACCTGATCTATGAAGTCCCGATGTAGTTCTTTGACGCTGTGTATATTGTAGTGCCCATTTACTTTACCATTATCTTTTCCTTCTCCATGTTTGGCACAATGTCCCTATGATCACGAAGGCAGATTTCCTGCAAGCAATGCAGCACTGTTGGCATGGTGATGCAACAGATTATCTC